GGTATGCAATATCACCCTTTTCGCTAGTATGATGGAAAATACCTCTATTCATTTTATATTTACACACACAGCATGCAAAACCAAGCCGCATGTTTGTGCATTTTCGCATGAGTACATTTACATGAGATATACATGTCATGTACTATATCCAAGCTGTTATAACCTTCTGATGCCCTTCAGAAAAGTGCGTCTACAATAGGACGTCATCATTGTGACTGGGCAGAAGTGTAATCTGATAGAAAATGGTCAAGAATATTATTCGTTTCATTTTTTAAAGTACAGGGTAAGATTTGACCTTTTGGTGTATGTATGCTGTTAAAGCAGAAATAGGTGACGGAATGCTGCCTAGGTAATTAAAACCTCCCTCATCATGCCAAATACTATTATTGAACTGTACCTTGAGGCACTTTAATTATGACACCAACAGTTGGAACTTGACCTATTTTTTAAAGAACGTTTCCTAGTCCTAAACGCTTTGATTTTAAACCATTCACACATACGAAGTTAAGTTGTAGTTCATGTGAAATACCATCATAATTGTATTTATTTTGAAAGTTCAGGTTAGGGTCTTTATAATATCATAACTGATACAGGAATGTCTAACCTCCGATGAAATGAGGTCTGGTTTAGGCTGGTATACCGTTATGGGCAGACTGTGACGTAAATATTAAATTTGATCAAGATAGTAGATATACACATGATTTCATATTATAATATTTGTTTCATTTTGAACAGCTAATGTAAAACATTACATAAATTGAATATTGCCACGACTTGGCTTTGTCAAGTTAGAAATAACTTATCTGACGTCCCCCCCCCCCCCCCAACAACAAAATCGGGCAACTGTCTCTCATGGGCAGTACCCACATCAATCACAAAATGATTGAGCGTATGTCCCATACATTTGTGACAGATTGGGACTAGATCAATATTGTGTTTACAAATGGGAATCGAATACTGCTATTCAAGGTGCAAACTACCGGCAAACGAGCAAACATTTTCTGCTCTTAATCCAATCTAAAAACGTGGAGAAGAAGAAAGACAAATCAAATATTCGGTCCAACTATTCCCGTGTAGCACAGCAGTGTAATGTTGGTTTGCAACAAAAGGGCGGCAAACACAATAATGTATTTGTAGCCCAATATAGGCACCCGGTGCTTCTTGTTTGCTATTAAGATTCAATCGCATATTTCCCACTAATTAGGACCCTAGTGTGGATGTGCTAAATCAAGCAAATATTGGAAAATAATCGTGTTTATCAACGAATAACAGGTCAACTAACACTCTTTTTTTTTGCATTTCGAAGACGCTGTTCATTATCCAACATTTAAGGAGTATTCAATAGGCCTGTTTACTAATTAATGCATGCTGGGGACTAAGGGACTTGGTTGGTTGATAATTGTTTTACCTGTATGCTTGTAAGTAAGCAAACGGGGGACCGATAGCTTTAAGTCCTCTCCGAAGGACCTGGTAATGAGGATTAATACCTTGCCAAAGGGTTACGAGACCACTGCTCTACCTACACGTACCCCCTTAGTCTGGATTATGGAGTAAGATCTTGTCAGCAATGGTATTTACAAATTATAGAGTAACATGTTAAATGTAGAGCAAGCAATCATTATTATGCACATCCAATTTTTAACATAATCCTGTTGACCTCAAAAGGGGGACATTAGTCAAATCTTCCCCTCCTTAATGTACTGAATGTATTGTTAATATCCCATATAGGTGAGACCAGTGGGAAAAGTGATTAGATGAACATTCAATGTAATTGGGTTGGTCTTTAACCACTTATTCCGCATGGTAAAGTCAAGCGAAATCCCCCAAAATGCAATCATCTTAACTTCGTTGATCTTTTGAGTCCTTTGAGTTCTATTATAACAAGAAACTGATTATGTGTTATGTTTGCGAGAAGGAGTTCGAAGGCCGTTTTAACTTGCCTACACAATACAGACTATGAATAGATAGCACACAGTGCGCTTTTATTAATTTTCAAATTTGTTTATACACCGGTACAGTCCACGAGATCGACAGCTCGCGTGGCGACATTGTCTTTATCATATTCCTTACATGTAATTTCTTTGATTTTCTTTTGTATTATCGTTATTTCGTGATTTATTTCTCAAAGTTTTCCATGTATTTGTTTCTCTCTATATCTTATTTCGTATTTCTCGTTTTCTTTTTTGGTTTCGTGTTTTTGACGAACTCGTGTCCTGTCGGTCTCGCGGGCTGTCGGTTTACTTGGATATCTCTTTATAAACCGACAATGGCTCTGATTTCTCTCACGTCTCTTACTCCTCCACTCCTAGATAATCATGATAATGCACATAGTTTGAGGCCATAATCTTATTCATTCCATTATTATCTACACGGTGATTATAAGACCCCTTTGAAATCTAGTCAGGGTTCAAAATCGAAATAACGGCCTTGTACGATAGAAATATTGATAAATGATCTATGACAATAGGTTTCGAAACTCCAAGGGGTAAGCCCCACTGTGAAATCATTCTTTAGTCAAAGAATGGTAAACGAATTTCTTTTCAAATGCACAACTTTTTCCCATGAGCTTATAACTTTTGCTTGGTATTGAGAATAAAACTCTTGAATTGGCAAACTTTAAAAAGCCTGCATGTTCCTACAGCCATGTCGGTATGTAAGAATCTTATTGACGCAGCTTATCTTTAGGGATGGATTCGAAAATCTTCATTATTTTCACTCTTTAAGAGATGTCCGAGGTTTTCACACAAGCGTATAGCATAAAAATTGTTTGACTTGAATCGTATTTTCCCCCTTTATAAAAATTGTTTAAAGTGTTATTCCTTTCAGAAAGGTGCTTATCAACACCTTCAAAAATATGAGCCGCTTGTGCGAAACTTTGAGCACGTTTCCGGAACCCTTTCCCCGGGGTTGTGTCTATTCTAAACCCTGGTAATTCACCTGTCTCTCAACCCCCTTACGTGCAGCTCTACAAAAGACCCAGAAAAGCACATACTTCACTGATGCAAATCATCCAAAATTGACGTTCCGTTTCCACCTCAAAGCCGCGGCCTTTTAAATTTAATTAGCTTCACACACAATAAGATGTCAGATATAATAGCATTGTGGAAGTAAAAATGGCTGCTCAGCTGTTTGAGATCAAAGCCGATCCTTTCAGAATCACACCAGGATTTGTTCCGCCATTGTGCTTTCAAGAAAAGTCATGGAAATTTGGGGCATTTTCAGCCATTTCCTGTCGGATTTCGAGCTTGTATTGAACATAGGAATGCTATGTATTCAATCTTGTTCTCCGCAAACAGGGAGATGGGTGATTTTTTTCGGTAAATATTCTAAAGCCCTAGTCCCACCAAGTGATAACCGTAACGATGCCTTTATTTATATCAAACGAACGTAATTGTGTATAATGATAAAATATCCCTGAAAGAAGTAGTGGATATATCAAGATACCCGATAAATATCAACACTATAGGTGAGCTTTTAGAGAATAAGGAAGAAAATAAGAAGACAAAAAACTTTGAGGGAGGCTTGGATATTTTTTTACCAAGCACATACCTGTATGAAACGTACAAACAAAATGCAAGAGAGGCAACTTCTCATTATCATACGATTAAAAACAATAACCTATTTTTATTATGTTATTTTAAAGGTAATTTTGCATCGATTTTATACGGAGGATAAACCAGTTTACTTTAAAAAAAAAAATTAGTTAGAGCCTACCTTTCACAACAATGTAGTTATCCTCATTGTTTTTCGTTATCGGTCAAGTGGGACAGGGCCTTAAACAGGGAAGTGCTACAAGACAAATCTCAGAGAAAAGAGATTCGGTCATGTATTACAATTTACACGGAATGCAGCACTTTCCTTATAATATACACGATTTCTAACTAGGCGTGCACATCGAGACAAATAGTGTTTAACCATGCAAACACTGTCAAATCTTTTGTCTGGGAAGATTTGATTTATTATTCTTGACAATTCAAATCCTGTCCATCAATCAAAATGGCAGATTAACAGTGTGGGAGAAAACATTCTGTTAACGACTGAAAATGTACTTCCTTTCCTTGGTTAGATAAAAAAATACTCTTTATTCATCATAGACCCTCTTATTAGATATTAGCTTGATCCAAAAAAAAAAATATATTTGAGTATTGGTATTGATTCCTGGTCAAAAGGTAGGGGTAGGCATTTTAAACTGTTCTAACTGTTCTAACATCCTTCCCGATATTTAATAACCTATGTATATAAACATGCGTTTACAATGAAAAGAATAATGGGTCCTAAATATAGAAGCGTTATTAGATAGGGAGCACTATAATAAACGCAATTTCATTAACTTCGGTGTTTAAAAACCCGCAATGGAATACACATCCAGAGGTTGAATACTTGTTTCTTTAAAGAAACTTGCTTACTTTTGTGTTTCTTTCAGCTACCCCGTGGTGCTTTCTTTTCCAGTTTGCTCGCTGATTTCGAAAGCATGTTTGCAAAACGGCTCAATTTCAACGAATTGTTGTAAGACAACCGAAGATACAAGGAACTTCCTTTCTTCCACTTCGCCCGGCTTTCTGTGAAGAGTCCCTTAGATTTACACTTCCTATTTAACTGGGGTTGGAAAGTACAGCAAGTTCTTGGTGGATTGCTTTTGAAAATTCTGTTTCTTTTATACTGAAGCTTTACCAAGAACTCTTTGTGTAAAGGGAGAAGAAAAACATTTTAGTTTCAAACAAAAGTGAAAATCCTCCAAATTGGAGGATTTTTATTCCTGCAAGTCTCCTCAAATTAGATGCAACTCAGCAACTGATAATTATTGTTCCTTATTAATTATTTTGTTAACTCTTTGGTTCCCTTCTGTTCTACTCTTTTCTACCTCTCTTCTGGGGTTGGAAAACGATAGTTGTAAGATTTAATCCATTTACTAATGTATTTGGTTCAAGATTTAGTCCATTTTCTGCTGTATTTGGTTAACATTCTCTCTCTCTCTTTCGTTCTTTTCTCTTTTTGTGCAGTTGGAAAGCGAGGTAAAGCTCCTCCGCGAGAAGCTGGCGTCGGCTCAGCAGACTCTGGGTGAGATGGGCCACCAGATGGACCTACAGAAAAAAGGAACTAGACAACTCTTAGCTGGCTGGAAACTCAAACTCGAAGAGAGCGAAGACAAAGTCATGTCGCAGGTACACGAGAAGGACTCCCAGTTCACTGATCTCATCTCGGATCTCATGTACTTCGAGGGATGCTTGAAGCGAGAGAGGCAGGAGATCGTCTCCAAACTCGGCGATAAGGACCGTCGCATCCGTGAGCTGGAGCGACATGTCATGAAGCAGGAGAAACAGATTAACGCATTGAACAAAGCTAATGAGAAACTCATCAGTAGTTTGCACGACACCAGGGGAATGTCGTTTTCCATGTCGGAGGACGACCGAAGCAACGGAGCAAAATCAAGTGACGATTCGCATCACGACGAGAGCAGTAGCAGCCACGATAACAGCAGCGAGACGGAGCGCGTGTCCTCACCCTCACCAATGATGTCGAGTCGACGACCAAACGGTAGACGAGTCACGGTGCATACGGGTCCGACATCGCAGCAGCAAGGCGGAATGAGACTCCTCAACAACAACACCATTAAACCCGACAGTCCGACCAATGGAAATCAGCATCGAGTTCGTTTTGTAGATGATGTCATCAATGACCTCAGCTCAAGTAGACCACGGAAGGGTTTCCTAATGAAAACTGAGGATAGGAGTAAAGCCAGGAAAATATCTTTGCCAGCATATCGCTTGCCTGTACCGAACGAAGGAGACGAGAATGTCCGATTCTTTTAGGCTAGTATACTCAAACTTGATTGTAGAACAATAAACATTTCTCCCTGCGAACCTCCGAAGTATTGATGTTCTTGGAGCAGAGGATCAATTTCTATTGGAAAATGTTCATGTAATAATCGAAATCGTGTGCTTCAGATCATTGAACAATTCAGGAACTAAAAGACTCCTGTCTTTCACGTTCGTGAGCAAAAGAACTATTGGGGAAGGATTATTGTGGGAGGTTTTCGCGTTGTATATTCATATCATGAAAGTGTAACGATTAGTTTTTAGCACGAATATGGCAGGATATCGTCGGCAATGGATCACTAATTAGATTATCATGGATAAGAAGACAACACTCAACAGTGATGTATCATGATTTGTGAGTAATTATTATGATGCATGATTGCCAACATGAGGGACAAGTTTTCTGCAGATCCCGTCTACAAGAAAAGTTCTGTAAACTTGATAGAGAATATTTACGATCGTCGCGAAGTGACTTGAAAGCTGCAGCAAATTATATGAACACAGATACGAGATGAACGGAAATAACAATTCATCACAATTTAAAAGCATATATAATGTGTGTCGTAAGCGATCATTTTAATGTGATGTGCTGGTGACACAGTAAGTGTAATTGAACTTTGACATTATGTTTTAAGACAACTGGTATAATTATGAATGAAGTTCTGATTATGATTACGATAAGCATTTCAAAATATTAATTGCAGATATGAGATTACACATGTCGATTATATCGAAGGGGCCATGTCATACAGTAGCACAGACTGTGCAAGTCTTGTTGATGTTTTGCGTAAAATACAGGAATTATCTGAATATTAGGAGCTCGGAAATCATATTATTGTACAACTCTTTGAATTGTGACCATTCCTATGTAATTAAATATATAATATTCCATTTTGTATGTAGTGTAGCTTATACTTGTGTTATCTACGCATTACCTGTTTTCCAAGCGCGGACATATTATTAACGTTAGTTTTTTTTTTACGGAAATACAGTCTATCATTTTTTGTTCTCAACGCATAAAACAGTATGAGAAAATGTACAAAATGATGGATACTAATGTTTGACACAGAAAAGTACAACGAAAAACAAAATTCCAGTATTTAGATAAGTTGGACGTGCCTCCATCTATCATGAAATAAAATGAACAATCTTCTTGCGCATAGATTGTTTCTTCAACTTCATGAGGATATATTTAAAAAAAATTGAAAACATGGAAATTATGACACATCGGATGCCAAAAGATGAAATTGTTAAATGTTAAATTAATTTAGTTTTTGAGGATATATTTTTCAAAATCAGAATTTTAAGGGACATTCCCAAAATAATTGCTTAATAGATTCAATATCTTTTGAACAAAACGTACACCAAGCAGAACCAACAGTCTTAAAATACTTATTGACACCAAGAATTTGGTGGTTATGTTTTTGGTGGAAGTTTTGTTATGATTATGGAGCTTGTTCTAGAATTATAATATGCGGATAGTGAGTTATTGGAAAACATTCAAAGTTTAAATAAATGAGAGACATGCATTCAAATGGGAAATGTTCAGCAAAAGTGAATGATGTGATAGAAAATAGTTTCTAGAAATTAGTAATATGTTCATCAAAAGATCATGTAGGTCAAATTTTCTTTTTTAATTTCTATGAAATTATAAACTTTAGGTATTTATCGGAAAGAAAACAGATCATTTCATGAAAAATAATTGAATGTTCGACGTGAATTTTTATGGTATAATTATTATTAGCATCTATTAGTATGAACTATAATTCACAATTTGTGAGGATCTTGTGAATAGAATTATTTATTGTACATAAAATGTATCGACTAGATTATAAACTATGAAAAAGAAAACATTATTTGTATTTTTTTTTGGTTTTGTTTAGTTCTTCCAGATAAAAAGGTTATGTGCCCCTCTGTCCAACTTTCTCCGTCCTTCTCTTTCTTTCTCTCTGTCTTTCTCTCTATCCTTCTCTAAATATTTCTTTATTTCCTTGTAATCAGAGGGCTAAAGTCCAATATCATGCCTAGTACTTAAGTTGATTGCCACTAACAAACATACTAAGCCCGTCTTGTTTATTCAAAAGATTTTATCACTGCACAATGTTTCAGAGTTTTTTTTTTTTTTTTTTTTTTTTTACTTCTATCGGTCACTCCTAAATCGGAGGGGGGGGGGGGTCCTAAAAAAGGCATTCTTGGCGATAAATATTATTTTGTAATTAATATTTTTAAGGAGACCTTGAACCACCATAAGTAAGACGTCATATAAAAGACAATTAAATCATCTATAATTTAGTACCAATTGCAATGGAGTTTTGATTAATTAACATCACAAGTACAAAACATGTTATGTGTGGTGGTTCAAAAGGGCCGCTTTTTGGACGCCCCTCCAATGTAGGGATGACCACTACAAATAATAAAAACCCTCTGAATATTGTGTAGTATGATGACATCTTTCGAAAAAATAAAGTGTGCTTATTTTGTGGAGTAATGGCAAGCAAACCCCATTTTTCTGACTTTTGCCCTCCGCTTATTCTGGGGAAAGTGAGAGAAAGAGAGAGAGAGAGAGCGAAAGGCGAAAGAGACTGATAAAGATGAGATAGGGTTGCCATATCTAAGTAATCAATAGAAGATTGTCTCTTGTATTTTTTCTTCAAAAAACAACATTTTGTAGAACGATCGATAAATTAAAACGCAATATATTGAATTTTGCAAAGGTATGATGATTTAAATATAAGTAACAGAGTTATAGAGGTAGAAGTAAAAAGGGAATAACCAGTAGGAAGTCCCCATCTTATGTTCATTTGCGGACATACGTTTTGAATAGGGCGTGGAAGGGGGGGGGGGGGGGAGACCATTGCCAGGTAAAATTCATTTTTACCTCAGAGATTTTGACACCGAACCGGGCATCATACACTTACCAAAGCGACTCCCAAATGGAATGTATGTGATAATAGGCCCTAAAGAATGATTCGATCTGGTGGATGAAAAAAAGATAGGGAAAGCTCGAGACTGGGATGAGAGATAGATAAAGAGATAATTCAGAGAGAAAAGGGGAGAAAGCTTGCTGAGCAGAATCGAGAAGAAAGGCGGAGGAGAGAATAGGAAGGATAGAAAGAAAGAGAGAGAGAGAGAGAGAGAGAGAGAGAGAGAGAAAGAGAGATAGAGAAGATGAGAAAAAGAGGAGATAGAAAGAGAGAAGATGAAAGAGAGAGAAGAGAGAAATAGAGAAGAGAGAGAGGGAGAGATAGGGAAGAGGAGAGAGAGAAAGATATATATGTAGAGAGAGAGAGAGAGAGATGAGAAAAATGATTCAATGAGAAATACAGAAAACTGATAATGAATAAAGGTACACCATACGGAAAGCGGAATGTTTTGTCCAGGACTGAGATTTGAACGGATTCCTATCGGTCATTATTAGTTTATCACAAATTGAATATCAGGCCAACAATTCACAATTTAAAAGCACAAATCCTAGCCAATATCTATTTAAATCGTATTTTTAAATAGTGAATGCATGACGAGTTTTTGAGCTTTCAGGTTCAAAACAAATTAAAGTACGTAAAACAAAACTTGTTTCGGAATCAGCCCATGAATAATTTACAAAAAACATCGCATCGTATAGGACTGGGCGTAAGGAAAACATGATTAAAAATATCTATAGTTGAAGCAAGGAGATACCTCCTTTGTTAAACAAAGACATAATATGAAAGAAAACACAATTCCATTTTAAAAGTTTCTCTGGATATGAATAATCTTCTCTTATTTGCCTATCAACTGAAATACTATAATTTTCCCGCGCCCCCAAATTTACAGAAATAGTTTAATTGCGTACGTTTGCCATAATCATAAACAGGATTACCGGAATCACTGAAGATTTAATTAGAACACGAAATTACACCTTTCAATGCAAGAATCTTTACAACGAACCACGTTTATAAATTACATCATTCAATCTACTATCAAATTAAATAAAGTAAAAATGGAAATATTATTCGAAAGTTTTCCTTCCTCATGTAATGCTTGATGCGTAATGTCAACCGATTACAGTTACAAGTTTCCGAAAAAAAGGGTTTTAAAATACAGCAGATGGAAACCAGACAATATGTCAAAGGAAAATCCAACGATTCTTTTATATGAGAATTATATTCATTCATGGAATTTTCTCAATCATCTGTGATATTAGTTTTAAATTTTGCGACGTAGGCCTACAAGGGTACTCCGTAAATATGAAATACCTACATTATACAGCTGAGCTATTCATAAAAGGTTGATTTTGTAATATTCAAGAAATTGCAAAATTTGCTCAATGGTAGCAGTGCTTTCTTTTCACATTGGCGCCCTCTTATGACCTCCTATCCCCAATCTTACTTGGATTTCGATGTGTACAGTATACGTCTTGGCAACCTAACGTCACTTCCCATACATTTGAACGCATGAGTGCATCACGATCTCTACACAATGCAGTATAGAGCAGGCGTGTATACAAAATACACCTGTAAGTATACCACAGAGCTCGAGATAGAGAGATTCTATACTAGACCTAGACAGAAATAACCGTCTGGTATGGGTCATTCTTTAATAAAACTGACATTTGTCGATATTCCCCATAGATGTAAAGTTACACTAGTATATCCGGAGGTCGATCTAGTGGAGCCAGACGTAGTCTCAGTGGAACAACCGACGATATGTAGCATGTATAGAGACTGAAGCTTTTGGTCTAGGGTCTACTAGACCTAGTTCAATTCCACATTACGCGATTATCTTCATCACCATGAAGCGGCACTTAACTGGAAGAAGAATGAGTTAATAGTTGACTCTTCACAATACTTGTGTTTGGTGCCAAGGAATTTCATCATACTGTTCATAGAAGGTAGGCCTACGACATTACTTAGCTCATTGCCGGTAATCTGGTAATTGAACAATTTGTACTAGTTTACTACTAGACTAGTACCGGTATTGTTGACTAGACTCTAGATCTAGTTTGTAGACATGTGAATGTGACGGTAGAATGGTAGATAGACTATTAATTGATTATTCAATTCAAGGCTACGAACGATACATTACATTATGACATGACGAGCGATTGTGAATAATGGCATGCCTTTGACTTTGGTTATGGTGTTGGAAGCTGCAGTGCATTGTGCTGGTCGGAATAATTGAGTATTGACTCGATCACAATTTTCTAATCCAGTAAGGCAGTAGGCCTAGTCCAGTCACATTTAGCAACTTACCCCCCCCCCCCCCCCCCCCCAAAAAAAAAAAAAAAAAAAAAAAATGTTGGCAAATTATACAAAAAATGATTTGATGTCTAAATGATCAATGTTCTTATTTGCATATTTTGCAACCATAAAATAACCATAATCGTTTAGAATGGATATGCCTAGAAGATGTATGTTGTACTGTGCATATTGCATGTATTGTATAGACTATAGAGTCTAGGGTTTATTGTAAATATCTCTAAGTATGGATACTTTCAATCCTTATTGCTCCTAAACAAAAAATATTATATCTCTGAAACTTTTATATGTTTAAGTGAACATGTCAGAGATTACATTTCATGAAAAATGTTGTCAAGGTCACGTGATCCACAAGGTCAATTTGAAGGTCAAATCTTAGGTCAAGAGGTCAAAGTACCCCAACATGTACAAATTTTCAAAATAGCGGCAGATTTGGAATCCTTCTTGAATACCCTTTCCAACAATACAAATTTTGTGAAGATTGACCCATTAGGTCCCGAGATACAAGGGTTCAAAGGAAGGCCCGCCACCCCCATTTTTGAAAAAATCTCAAAATTTGGTGGGCTGTATCTCCCAAACCTCTCACCCAATTGACCTAAAATTTGGGATTTGGTGCTGTGAGATCACACTCAACAAGTACACTAAGTTTCATCAAAATAAAAAATGGTCGGGTTAAGATTTTCAGATTTTTTGGGTGATTTGACATGGAATGACCCAAAAGCTGATTTCAAGTTCAAGCATACATTGTTCTTTTTCCATGCAAAAAACCCCATGATTAACGACACATAACTCAAGTAAATAGAGATTAAAGGTAAAGACCAGTTTTGGAAACACCCCCCCCCCCTCTCAAAAAATGAAATGGAAGCTCTTATTACCAATCATGTTTTGACTAATACAAATTTTTTGAGAAACCGCCTACTAATTGATAAAGATATAACGCATGTACATCTTTCTGTGTACAGTGCTTGTAACTTTACCAAGACTCAAATTTCTTATCATTTTGATGATTCCAGAACCTTCCAGTACACACAATACTTATATGCTAGATGATCAACCTTTTCTGATCGATTCCACAACGTTTCTTTCACAATGCAATCGCATGACCATAACTGGTCTTGGCAAAGGTTTGGTTTTGGTATAGATGAAATACAATATTTGAGCTTTCTCAATCTTTGTATGTCAGTCTGGAAGAATATAGAAGAAATGTTTGCTGACAAGAGTCGCTCTTCAGAAGGATGCCCTTATGTTTGAAATACATGTACACGTATGATCAAAAGTGTGGACTAAACTCTTGTGTGTGTGTGTGTGTGTGTGTGTACATAGTCCAATATTACTATTTCTGTGTGCAGTCCATATGATTATCAGCAACGTTGAGTCAATTTCTTTTCATTTTGATATAATTCCCAAACGTCACAGTACTTACACATCAATGCCAATGAACCTTTCTCACATAAATGAACCTTTCCCAATTACTGTCACACAGTTCATTTCATGATGTGCATTTTATAGAGAAGATGATCTGTAAACATCCATGTAAATAGTGGACTTTGCTGTGTCCATGGCATATGAATGAATGGATGCACTCATTAATACATAGGTTGTTCCTTTTCTCAGTGTTTGCTGAGGTTTAACCGTGTTTCAGCCTTCAGGTCTGTAAGATGGAGCTACAAAGTAACAAAGTAACAATAATATATTGTTTACAATGTGGTTTGTTGCCTGCTCTGACTAAGTATTACTTCACTGTACCAGCTGTAAGCTGTTTGTCCTACCTACAGAGATGCCAACCGTTATGGTTTTGTCGTATTTGTTACGGTTTTAATGCTCTTGTTACGGCGTTACGGTAAACAATCAAAAGGTTACGGGGAAATGATTAATAAAAGTACATTATAGCAAATGCCGCCTTATCACATAGCCTCTGTACACAACGCTGCATGTCGCACGCATTTAGTCATAAGTTCACTGAATTTGACTACACTGGATAGGCACTTTTGCGCACATTGTCCGTCCGCCGCCATCTTGTTTAATTCAGAAACAACACGGCCGCCGCTATTACTGTTTTGATAATAGGGACTTTTAGATTGAGTGGACGAGAACACGACGAACGCCGACTGATCCTCCGTGTCAACGTTCTCAACTGCCCATGTTGACTACAATTAGAAATCTTTTAGATTTCACTCGACGATACATGCATGCGGAATTTGTAACACTGTGAAGATGACGGACAAAGAAAGAGGGGAAAACATACAGTTCCTCATTTTCCTCAACAATAATATTGCTGTGGTAGACAAAAGAACATCCCTTCACTGCTTCACTATCATGTAAAAATGTGTAGAACAGGTGAATATGCATGTGACACCTACACATTTTTACATAATAGCAGGGAAGGGATGTTCCTTTATCTACCTGAGGAACTGTATATTTTGTCCTCTTTCTTTGTCCGTCATGTTCATAGTGTAAGCGTGCACGCGCGCACGCGGCATACTAGTAGGACCGTACTAGATTTAGGAAAATCAAGGTTGACGCATTATCGATCGCCGACTGAGACGACGTGACGCATGCGCAGTGCCTTAAAATGACGTCACACGTCGCAGTCCAAGCTGTCGACGTGCAAATCTAAAAGTCCCTACTATACTAGTATGCTACGTGCTGTCGTGTGTTTTTTCCGGGGAGCATGGTGGTAGATGATCGTGCGCACGGTGCCCGCAATACCCATTCAAAATATAGTAGCGAAGACTCCGGTGAGTCAGCGGGCGCATTGCAAGTGCGGTGTACGGTGTGTTGTTGTTCACGAACGCCGGGCCTAGCGGCCTGGGCTGGTGTGTCTGTGGTACTGGTGAGTGTACGTTTGCGTGTGTAGGATACGAGTTCTGCGATTTGACTGTGGATTCGAATTTGCCATTCGACGCTTGAATGAGGTGTTTTCTTCCTGAATATGATCATGGATTCACTCAAAACAGCGAGTACCCGAGGAGGAGATCCTTTGACTGGAAACAGATTTTTAAAAACGTTTTTATGCACATCTTTATTTTTTACTTAAAAATGGTAGGTTCGAAATGTAGTAAGAGTGATTGGGTGTTTGTGTACGTTTTGCGCGAAAATCATGCTGTGGTGTCTTGCGTTCCGGAAAGACCCCCATTTGTTACGGACAAATATGGTAAATGTTACTGACAGCCATCCTATAGGGTTGGCATCTCTGTACCTAGCAACAATTAATATATTTGCATTCTAACCTTTGAGATAAAATTGATACAGGTGAATTATATAAAAGCTTTTCTCTTGGTAAATGCATGTATCAATTTGAAAATATTTGAAAATGATGTACAGTGTATTATCAAAATGATTGACCTGTAATTAGATTTTGCCGATCTATTGATGTTTGAAGGAGTAGAAGAATGCTGCAGTCATAAAGAGATGGCATTGACTCCACAGAGATATATTGATCTGTTGTTTTGGTGAAGCGTTTGCAAGCTGCAAGGTTAATTTTCTCTAGTCTCTTCTCTCCAGACCCCCTAAATCCCACAGTGTACACATGAAATACATAGCAATGTTAAAACAACTATTACATAACGCATGGTATAATACATATGTTATAACAAAAACTAAGTATGACCAACATAATTATAAAAGTTGACACATAATTATGGCTGTGATATTGTATCTTTGGGGGCTGTCCAGATCTAAATTGCTTACCGTACTACTTTTGTGTATTTTTAAATCTTTGTTCTAATTACCATACCAACTTGTAAAAAATCCTTAACTCTTCATGGGAGCTCCTTTTGGATTTTGCTCTGTACAGTATGTAAAAGTGATAATTCTCTCAGGGATATTATCTTTTTTCCAGTGCTCTATTTCAGTCTAATAGAGATCTTTTGGGGTACTCCCAGTCTAAATTGTTCACTACTTTCATATATTTTTGTGTGCTGTAACACGCTGACAGGATAAGGTTTTCTAAATTACACTGCCTAGCTTTGTGGAGATGTTAACACTTTCCTAATCATCATTTCACAGGTTGTGGTTTGGTTTAATAACTTTTGATTCAGAGCCCTATTCCACATGCATGAGTATAGAAATGGCAACATTTCTGCACATACTAAATCAATTTTTTTTTCATGAAAATCCTGTGTTTGATATGAATTTTTTAAATTCTTTTATTGGCAACACATTGAAAAATCAGAGTTTTGTAATTGTACATCAAAAGTAGCAATTTATTAGCTTTTTGACAACATTCCTACCCATATACTGTAGTATATTCAATATTGTATTCAGGGATATTGCATTTTATTAGAACAATGTAAAAATAAAAGAAAAATACTATTTTTGCCAATTTGGAGGAAAATATGTGATCATTCCTGTCCTGAGAAACTTGGTGTGGGATCTTTCACCGTAACTATGGAGAAGGAAACATGATTAAGATAAAACTGATTGAGTTGGGATGTAAAAAGTAAACTATATGGACACGCTCTACAAGATCCTTGCAGACACGATAAGTAGTCCTTCCAGATGATTAGCTGGTGCTAGATCCTACCCTCTATTATCGTTACGCTTGCTTTTCTCCGCTCATTGCGCTCAATGAAGCTTACCAGTAATAAACACGGTTATATATTCATGCTGTTTAGTTGTTAATGTGGTGCAT